TACTATTGTTGATATAATACATCATCTTAGTACTGCCTATTTCTTACTCTCGTTGAAAATCTGTCATGTTCATACTGGTTATTTCTTACTATTGTTGATATAATATATCATCTTAGTACTGCCTATTTCTTACTCTCGTCGATAATCTATCATCTTCATACTGGTTATTTCTTACTATTGTTGATATAATATATCATCTTAATACTGGCTATTTCCTACTATCGTTGATAATCTGTCATCTTAATACTAGCTACTTCTTACTATTGTTGATAGTTTATCATCGTAATACTGGCTATTTTTTTACTGTTGTTGATAATCTATCATCTTAACTCTGGCTATTTCATGCCATCGTTCATAATCTATCATCTTAATGCTATCTATTTCTTACTATCGTTCATAATCTATCATCTTAATACTGGCTATTTTTTACTGCCGTTGATAATCTATCATCTTAGTGTTGGCTATTTCTTACTATCGTTGATAATTTGTCATCTTCATACAGATTATTTCTTACTATTGTTGATATAATGTATCATCTTAATACTGGCTATTTCTTACTGCCATTGATAATCTATCATCTTTGTGTTGGCTATTTCTTACTATCGTTGATAATCTGTCATCTTCATACAGATTATTTCTTACTATTGTTGATATAATCTATCAACTTAATACTGACTACTTCTTACTATCGTTAATTATAAGTTCTTTACTGGATTGTGTAGTATAACACGAAGTTTAGAAGGGTGGAAAAAATTAATTAAATGTTTTCTTACTAACTCATAAATAGCATGAAGCTTTGGGTAGATATTAACCCTAGTTAAGTGCATTGTTTTAAACTTAGAATCTTGCTTGAATAAGTGTCGACTTTATATTTGCATTCCAATATTCATTGATAGGGTCAGTGTCCATAAAGCTGATAAATCACTGTTGCCTAATCAGGTTACTGAAACATTCAGTGCCACTGATTCCATATTTGTAACAGTGTTTGACATTGGTCACATTATTCCAGAATACACCCGATTGTCTTAGAGTGTTTCATTAGAGGGGGCGGAGTCATGCCGTGACACTCGATGCCACCGCCCCAGACGAAACTAATAGTTAAATTGCTTCTCTCCTGGGACCACGAATGAATCTTTCGAGTCCACAGGTGCTTTGGACATGTTCATACCTAAGAGAGAGAGACAAACACATTGGGAGGGCTGCAAGGGTTGATGGTGGGGTGGGGGGTCGGAATCGGGGGACGGTACCCAAATTGGATATCACCATTTGTCACCTGGGTGACTGCGTCGAATGGCGAAACAAATTACTTTATTTGAAAGTCCATGTCGGCCACAGCTTAAAATCGGCGCATAGGGATTTGATCGATGCTGTAGGGATGTGTGGCTTCGGCTATAATTGTGGAATGCTTCATATCATTCGTATAGTTCGTTGCCTCGAAGGGGTTGCGTCGGTGTATGTGAATCCTTTTATGCTTTGATGGTATCTTCTGATTCTAGAAAATTGTGGAAAGAATTTTCATATTTTCTGCTTGATTCGTTTCTTGAAGCTTCCATAGTCATGTTTACAATATTTTATCTTTTTATTTATTTATTTTTCGGAACGTTTATTTGCTTTGATGAATAGAATTGTGGAACTGATTTTGCGTTTAAAAGAATTTGTTTACTGAGTAAGCATCAATTAATACCGATTTTTTAAAAATTATTACAGTTAGGGGCCGAAATATTACTTATGAATATCCCCTTTTAGTAGCGAAAAAAAAGCAAATCACAACCTCTTTAGGCTTATATAAGTGTAATACTTCAATGTGTAATATTTTTCCCTACATTTAATTTATTTTGTAACTTATATTGTTATAATTCGTCTTGTGTAAAACATTGCTTATACCCCTACTTTTTGCCTTGGAAATAAGCAAATCACAAAGCTCCTTCCCCCTAAGTATTAGCATATTTTGGAACGGTTTCTATTAGGTATATTGCATAGTCAGTAATAGTACACAAGAAAAAAAGAGGAAATGAAATTTTTTTTTTTTTTTTCATTTTCATTGTTTAGTGTGTGAATGCTCTCTATTGTTATGTGACATTTTTGCCTTAGAGTTTGTTTCGTGGATCTTGCAATTGTACCTTTAAATCTATTAAGTGTTTTCTGCAAATATTTATACGGGGTTATTCATAATTCCCTCCGGGGTTTCGAAGCGTTATGGTTAAAAAAAAAGAAGACGAATATGAAAAAAAGACACATATGAAATTATTCCGAAACTATTCAATTTTTACTTAATACATTACAGGTGTTCTATGTGTGAACCCTTGGTCACATGGCATACATCAATGCGATAGTCCAGTTCCTGCTCGGAGGGAGTTATGAATAACCCTGTATAATAACAAAATATTTGGTTAATTTATTGTCCAGGCGATAATAAAAAAAAACTTGATAAATTCTATGAAAATAGCAGAAAATCTATTAAGAATTTCGTGTGTTATCATTTTAATGTCACAGAAAATTCTAATTGTCACTAAAACTTTTTATTAGAATTGTTAAAGAGCACGTGAATATCAGTGTTAATAAAGAAACACAAAATGCAAAATGTATTGAATATATTTGACGGCAGTGAAATGCTTTCATTAGTTCTTTATATGCGGGAGATTTTAAGCAAGCTTTTCAAGGGAAAAGTCACAGTTACTACTTAAAAGCAAAATTTTTGCTATCATCTTTAAACTTCAATGACCTTCTAGCCTTTTAGCTGTCCTGATTTTCATGATAAAAAATTTTTTTCTTTTTCTTTGTCCTAAATTTTTAGCTTTTATATTTATATTCATTCATTCATTCGTTTCATTATTTCATATTATGTTATTTATATAAATCCAAAATTAAAAATAATATATTTTATTATCATCTTTTTTTATTTACCACCTTTTTTTTTATACTGTTCCATAATATGTCCTGATTTTTTTTTCTTTTTAAATATTAGTCTGACTATTTTTTTCTGCTGCGAGGACTGGACTCAAAGATCTAACATTTTTATAATACAATAACATTATTCTATATAGTTGCTATTCCTGTGGGTATAATTTTTAGCTCCTCGGTTGGAAACATAATTTAGTTGGACAAGTCAAATGACCTGTATACTAAATCTTATTATTAATATAAATTATAAGAATTGTTGTTCTTGATTCTTTTCTTCTCAAGGCACAGTGCGCAAAAAAAGAAAACGGATTACCCTGACTAACTTTTGTTCTAATGATCGGATTTTCACGTACTAAGACTCAATCTTAATGGTTCGAGGGGGTGACCTCAAATATGCTAACTAATTAATGGAGACGATATTTTAAATTACGTAATAAAATACAAAAACGAACATTGTGATTAAACATACCTTTCCTTTCGACGGATTTTAATTTCTGACTTGCAAAATGTAGGAGGTATCCGCAATCTGGAAAATGTGGCTCACTGTACAATCATTTGACAGCCTTGAATATGTTCGTGTAGTTACTTTTTTTTTTTCACTTTCGAAATTACTGTCCCATTTTTAGGACCTTTTTCAATTGTTTTTAAAAATCGAAATTTGAAATCAGCTATCCTTTTTTTCTGTTAACAGTTTTAGTGTGAAAAATTATTTTTATATTAATTCCATTATGTTTTGTTACATTTTCTATTTCCCACTTTTATAACTTTTAGTGCTGCTTTAATCAAGTTATTAACAATTTAAATCCATTGATTTTCAGTAATTCATTGTTTAAAAAAGATCTTTTATTTAAATCGTTAAAATCGTAGTATATGCACTTGCTTTTAAGATAATAATTTATAACATAGTAACAGCCTTCCTTCTACATAAAATCCTCGGAGAATTTTTTGTTTTATGTGATAGAAATTTTTGTTACAGTGCTTGGCATATTTGCGAAAAATGTCTCTTTTTTTTGTTGCTAGTTTTATAAGTTTTTACACATAATAAAACAAACAAACTAGTTTATTAAAATTTTATATGAATTTTTTTTTTTAAAAAATGTTGTCGAATCAGGTCGGATAGCTTAAAATGCATTTGCATGAATGAGTAGTAGTCCCGCTGTGGACTGCTTGTTAAGCCATAGTTCCCTGCAGAGCATCACTGGCTGAGTTCAGTATGCGGGTGGGTGACCACTTGGATTAGTCTGCGTAGTGACCGAGAGTGTGTGATATTGGTCCTCGTTAAACTGTTCTACCGTAAAATGCTTGACTTCGCGTGCAGGTCCTCTGGCTACCGAAGCCGGCGTGCCATCCCTTCTGCAGAGGATCAAAATTGTGATGACATGTCTTCGGATCATCCTCAGGGATGTTTCCCAGACCGTCGCCAATAGCCCATTGTGCAGTTCTGGTGTGACGTAAATGAACAACAACAGCAGCATGAATGAGTAAAAAAATAAAAAATAATTATTTGTACTTGTCATTATGTAAAAGTATCATTTTAACTTATTTTAAGTCACTGAAAATTATTTTGGTCACTGAAAATTACTGTGGCAGTGGGTTATATTATTTTTAACATTATTTATTTTGTTGATCTTAGTAATAATTATATGCATTTAATGTATTTTTGACTGTGTCCCCTGATCCGGAAGCCTCATAGAAACAGTAAACTAATTTTATCCTGTTTTTAAAGAGTCAACTATTAGATAAATTATATAGATTAACACTGTATGTCTAAATAAAGTTTAATTAATCTAAAGTTTTAATAACTTTAAAATAAACCTCTCATTCTAGATATCCATTCAATTTAAAGGATGGGAGAGCAAACAATTCTGATTTAAATATTTATAATTAAAAAAAATAGATATCCTATTAGTTTATTTATTGATTACCGATAATTATATGCCCTTTGATGCATAACTAATTAAGATATCCTTGAAATTGGATTCATAACAAAATTTCAATTGCAAGTTTTATAATAATAAGTTTCTGAAGTTAAATAATACAATAGAATAGCAAAAAATAAATACTACCTGTTTCTTAATTATTTTCTCTTTTCTTTTTAGGACTTCTGAGAAGAAGTGGTGTGTAAAATCCAAACTGAAATCCGTTGGAGTAAGTAACAATTTACTAATTTAGAAAGGGCCTGTGGTTTTGTGAATAACTAAAAATGTGTACCAATGTAATTCAACAATTCTGTTGCTAGGAAAGTGATTAATTAAACGGATTTGTGTGTGTGTAAATATCGGGCAAGATTTGTCACCCATGTTCTTTTTTTTTTATTATTTTTTTATTTCTGTTATTAATATCCATTCTAAATCTAGTAAGAAAAGGCTTTCCTTTTTAAAAAAAAATTGTTACTGATTAGCAGTGGCTTTATTCAATATTTTTTTCGATTCCTTAAACAAAAAAAACTCTAATTATTTGCTGCTTGCTTCATTTCTATATATTATAATTTTTTTTAAGTTTGTGATCCTGAAATAAGTATGAAATTCTTCGAACTCGCGATTTTCCTCTTTATATTACTATCATTGAAAAAAAGAATAGCGAATGATAGTAGAGAAGTAAACAAACACATGGCGGGGGAACCCCAGAGTGCAAATGACAAATGTGAGGAGGTTTGGCGGGAACCTCAGAGTGCAAATGATTAAATTAGAATAGATTTCCAAATATTGGGAAACAATGAAATAGTAGAAATGTCATTAACTAACTTATAAGAATTTTTCAAATTATAGAATGATTCCCAGAAATCAAACTCGGTCGATGAAGAGCTATGTTGAATGATTTTAGCTGAAGAAAATTTAAATCTGTGATTAGAATTCCCACTATGTAATGTAGGACACTAAAAGATCGGCTAATATCCTAAATTCGGACGTATATTTCGTGTTCCTTAAGTCGAAGCTTAAGGGTAAGTTTTGTTTGTTCAATATAAACGGAGCCAGAAGGACACGAAATTTGATAAAACATCTCAGCTATTTATATGAGCAATAGGGTCTTAAATGTTGGTGAAATTTAGTTTACTTACAGGGGAAAAAACGACTTTAAATTTAAGTTTATTCTAAACCTTAGCGATTTGGGGACTGATATTTGAATAATAAGGTAAAACAAGTTCGAATTCGAGAGTAAGGTGAATTACGAGATTATTTTTTTTTGCTTTATTATCACTGTTATTATTATTTATCTCCTTTTTCCATTGTTTTTTTTTTGTTTTTTTTTTAAATAAATTTAAATTTTTTTGTACTCTGAGTGAAACTAACCAAAATCGATTTAAAATCTATGTATGAATAAGATTGATGTCAGGAGCTGACATAAGTTTTTCCCATTAAGCAAAGGTTTTTATGGTCGTTTTTTGATATTATATTCTTTTCATATGTTATTTAAGTCTTATCCATTTTATTTTTCAGTACATGAATCAGCATTTAACCAAAAATATCTTAAGTTAATAATTTGTTTTCCTGAAATGTTCTTCTTAATTAATTTCTAAATGCATTTTATTATTTTTCCCCTCTTCTTTTTTGCAATGCTTGTCTTGCATCTGAGTTCAAAGCGTCACAATTTTCCTTTCCAATTTCTGGTTTTTTCTTTCATTATTTTTTCTTAAATTTTATTTTAGAAAACGTTTATATTTTTTCCCTTCTTGATTATAATGAAAAAATATAGGAGGATGTATTATACGCTTGACCTAAATTTTCTATTTCGAAAATTTAACAAAAATTGGTTTAATTCATACTCTTGTGAATGATAAGAAAAAAACTCGCTATGTATCATCATTTAAGATCTACCGGTAAACGCATAGTTTATTGTTGGTCATTGCACCATTATTTGCATCAATTCATCGTTTGGAAAATGCATATATTTTAATCAGTGATTAAATGAACATGACTTTATCTTGTACCCTCTTGAGTATGATGATAACCTATCACAACTAAAAAAAAAGTTCTCCTTTTGTTAGTGAAGTTCAAAAAGATAAATGGCTTTCTTTATTATTGTTATCGGTTATCATGTCATATATAAACGAAATTAATATTCACATTAAGAACAGTTATTTTTTATCTCATGGTATTTTTTCCCTCATTCTTTTTACAGGATAAATTTCAAGGTTCGTATCTTGATTTAAATCAACTCTTGTTTTTTCTTCTTTTAATCATTGATTTATGAATGGGGGATTAAATGATTATTGATCATAGAAAAATCATTGATTGAATTAATTTTGTATTTATTTTAAAGACTTTGAATTTTATTCTTAATATATTGCTGCGTTAATAAATTTCAGTTAACAAAATTGCATTTGTATTTCGTGTAAAAATTATGTAATAAATTGTAGAACTTCTGATTTTTCGGATTGTAAATAAAGAGCGAAGTGAAATTCTGTATTTATTGAGTGTGGATTTTTTCGCTGTAAACATGGAGGTATAAAAAAGAATTTATTAGTTCAAAGCTTGAAAGAACAAATTTCAAAACCACGTTTTTTTTAATATTACGAAAATATTTCTGAATCTTAGGGTAAACNTGTTGTTCTATATCCGTTTGATAATTTTAGTAAATGAAAGAAGAATTGAAAAATTACGGATTGGTGAGCTCATTTTCCGGATTAATGATTTTGGTGCTTTTGCAAATCTACTAAATTAGAATGTTTGAAATAGGAAAATTATTGCAAAATTTGTTGTTGTTCTATGTTCATTGGATTGCAGTTTTTAGTAAAAGTTTTGAATAATAGAAAAAATTTAAAAAAAAAATTAGGGATTGGTGATCATTTCTGGATTAATCTGGATTGAGGATTTTGGTGCTTCAACAAATCTCCTAAATTAGATTATTTGACGCAGGATTGTCATTATAAAGTATTGTTGTTCTATATTCGTTTGATAATTTTAGTAAATGAAAGAAGAATTGAAAAATTGCGGATTGGTGAGCTCATTTTCCGGATTAATGATTTTGGTGCTTTTACAAATCTACTAAATTAGAATGTTTGAAATAGGAAAATTATTGCAAAATTTTGTTGTTGTTCTATGTTCATTTGATCATTTGATTGCAGTTTTTAGTAAATGTAAGAACAGTCGAAAAAATTTAAAAAAATTACGGATTGGTGATCACTTTTTTGTTAATCTGGATTGAGGATTTTGGTGCTTCAACAAATCTCCTGAATTACATTATTTGAAGCAGGAAAGTCATTACAAAGTATTGTTGTTGTTCTATATTCGTTTGATAATTTTAGTAAATGAAAGAAGAATTGGAAAATTGTGGATTGGTGAGCTCATTTTCCGGATTAATGATTTTGGTGCTTTTGCAAATCTTCTAAATTAGAATGTTTGAAATAGGAAAATTATTGCAAAATTTTGTTGTTGTCCTATGTTCATTTGATCATTTGATTGCAGTTTTTAGTAAATGTAAGAACAGACGAAAAAATTTTAAAAAATTACGGATTGGTGATCACTTCTTTGTTAATCAGGATTGAGGATTTTGGTGCTTCAACAAATCTCCTAAATTAGATTATTTGAAGCATTAAAGTCATTACAAAGTATTGTTGTTGTTCTATATTCGTTTGATAATTTTAGTAAATGAAAGAAGAATTGGAAAATTGCTGATTGGTGAGCTCATTTTCCGGATTAATGATTTTGGTGCTGTTGCAATCCTACTAAATTAGAATATTTGAAATAGGAACATTATTGCAAAATTTTGTTGTTGTTCTATGTTCATTTGATCGTTTGATTGCAGTCTTTAGTAAATGTAAGAACAGTCGAAAAAATTTAAAAAAATTATGGATTGGTGATCACTTCTTTGTTAATCTGGATTGAGGATTTTGGTGCTTCAACAAATCTCCTGAATTAGATTATTTGAAGCAGGAAAGTCATTACAAAGTATTGTTGTTGTTCTATATTCGTTTGATAATTTTAGTAAATGAAAGAAAAAATGAAAAATTACGGATTGGTGAGCTCATTTTCCGGATTAATGATTTTGGTGCTTTTGCAAATCTACTAAATTAGAATGTTTGAAATAGGAAAATTATTGCAAAATTTGTTGTTGTTCTATGTTCATTTGATTGCAGTTTTTAGTAATAGTTTTGAATAATAGAAAAAATTTTAAAAAAAATTAGGGATTGGTGATCATTTCTGGATTAATCTGGATTGAGGATTTTGGTGCTTCAACAAATCTCCTGAATTAGATTATTTGAAGCAGGAAAGTCATTACAAAGTATTGTTGTTGTTCTATATTCGTTTGATAATTTTAGTAAATGAAAGAAGAATTGAAAAATTACGGATTGGTGAGCTCATTTTCCGGATTAATGATTTTGGTGCTTTTGCAAATCTACTAAATTAGAATGTTTGAAATAGGAAAATTATTGCAAAATTTTGTTGTTGTTCTATGTTCATTTGATTGCAATTTTTAGTAAATGTAAGAACAGTCGAAAAATTTTTAAAAAATTACGGATTGGTGATCACTTCTTTGTTAAACTGGATTGAGGATTTTGGTGCTTTAACAAATCTCCTGAATTAGATTATTTGAAGCATTAAAGTCATTACAAAGTATTGTTGTTGTTCTATATCCGTTTGATAATTTTAGTAAATGAAATAAGAATTGAAAAATTGTGGATTGGTGAGCTCATTTTCCGGATTAATGATTTTGGTGCTTTTGCAATCCTACTAAATTAGAATATTTGAAATAGGAAAATTATTACAAAATTTTGTTGTTCTATGTTCATTTGATCATTCGGCGATCACAGGTTACCCATTGGAAAATTTTTTTTTTTTTTTTTTTTTAAATCCTCTTTGTTTGTAATATTCACCTGAACTAGTAATGAAAACGATCCAGTTTGAACTGTAGGTTAGAATTTCTGATTCTTAATTAAAACTATTAAGACAATAAATTCAAAAATATCGTTCAAATGATGAAATTCTCTTTTATTCACAACTCAAGAAGTATTTATGGGATCTCTCTGATCCCATATCTCGAAAATAAACTCACCAATTTCATGCATGGCAAAATTAAAAGTTAAAAAAGAATTCTAAAAAACAGCGCGGTCTTACAGCAGCGGTCGTCATAGCAACGCGTACAATGACGACGCATGCGCAAAGTGTGATGACGTCCAAATGTGGTGCGCACGCCATCAAACCCAAAAC